GGCGGCACCACTGAGCTAAAACCCTGCCCCCATTGTACAGAAATTTTAAAGCATGCAGTATATAAATTTCAGCCCAAAGGAACATCTTTATTAACAAGTTAACTTCAAAAGTGCCTGGACTTGGAAGATGATCTATCCCAGAGGAATTCTCAAATAAGATGATATGACTGTGAAGGAGAAGTAATTTGGCTCATTAAAAATCTCTATGAAAACTGATAATTCAAAATTGTGGAACTGGAAATTCTACCAAAACTCCACAATGCACACATCAGAAAGTATTGTGTCTTCTCTCAAACTGGCCAGTTTATAACATAATTAACTGCTACCTGAGATGAAGACGTTTAAAAGCGTATCCTGAATAGACTGTTTCATTTTCACCCAAGGTTATATGCAACTGCCTAAACCAAAGGCAAAATAAAACTGAAATATCCAACAATGAATTGATATTGATCAGATTACACAGCTACATTACAAAGTGGAATGCTGTGAAGTTAGACATGTTGTTCAGAGACACAGGAAAATGATTAAAGTCAAAAAAGTAGTTACACTACAGCATATGCAAGGTTCTATTTTATTAAATACACACATATATAATTGCTTCTCAGCCTTTTGGCTAAGACCAAGTGTAAAATATATATGTAGTACTTATATTTGTCCATTTCAGCAGCTACATACCCCCTAGTCACTGGAGGAATATTTGTTCCATCACTAATCTATCTCTAGGGTCTTAAACCAGTGTCCCCTTGTGCTTTCAATAAGCAATATTGGTGAAAGAAGTTCAAATATTCTGGTCCCCCCTGAAAATTGTCCTTTTTCTCGAGTTTAATTAACCTGTATGTGATGCTTGTAAAATAAAATTGTAATTTACAAATGCTTTCCAGTTAAGTCATTTGATCTCAAAAGCTGAGTTTTTGGGGGTTTTTGGTACTGGGGATCGAACTCAGGACCTTGTGCTTGTGAGGCAGGTGCAGTGCTACTGAGCCAGATTCCCCAGCCCCAAAAGCTGCGTTTTAATGTATCCTTTTGAAGTGAGGAAAAGATTAGAGGTTGAGCTTTCTAAGGCTTCACTAACTGGAGTCAAAGCTCAGTAAACTAATCCACCAGTCCGACCCTGCCTACAGTATGTGCTCAAAATGCCTTATCTCTATAAATATTTTACTTTCAGCTTGATAAACCAAAAATTCCTTTACACATGTATTGTACTTTGCACAAACTATTTGATGTCATTTTTCATTCATTTTGAACAGTATTCGGCCCATTACCCTCCTTACACTCCCTATTCCCTTCCTCGTGTGTAATAGGCCTCACTTGTACTTTGATGACATCTTTTTTACATTCTCCATATTAGGGAATATTTGGTACTTGTGAGTCTGGTGTATTTTACTTGACAAGATGATCTCCAGTTCCATTCATTTTCCTGCAAGTGACCTAATCCTGTTCTTATACGCCATATTTCCTTCATCCATTCTTCTGTTGATGAGCACCTAGGCTTGTGGAGGACTAGAGAATTAAGGCCTAATATGGCTCCCTCTGTGAGCACAAAGGGGTAATTGCATACTGCATATTAGGGAAAAGTTAGGATAGCTCAGGTGGTTTACCAGAGATATACTAATGGATATCAAAGACCAGATGAATCTTGTGTTACTTTGCTCGTGCCATGTTTGGGTGAAAAAAAGCGAGGTGAGCCAAAGGCTAGAGGCTCCTCTGCCTCCTAGAGGCAAGAGCCTCCTGGCTGCCTGCATGTTAAACTCTGTGACGCGTCATTCATCCTCATTTGCGCCCCCACCCCCACCCCCATCAGGGAGAACAAAGTAGCAGGCCTAGATCCTGGAGCAAGGCTGGCTGGGTGGGTTGGCTGCAGGTGGTGCCCCAGTGTGTGGCTTGGAACCGACTCACCCACAACACCATCACTTGGGACACCTGTTGGTACCCTGAACAGGGACCTGAGACGGGGTCACATACATAAGCTGGTTCTGTGTCTTGGTTACTGTGAATTGTGCCACATAAACATGGGTATGCAGTTACACCTATAGGATGTGCAGACTAATTTCTTATACCAAGGAGTCAATGAAAATTCTAACCAAGAAAGCAAGCCTTAATTAAGCATGCTATGTTTTCAGCAACAAAAAAGAAATTAAAAAAAAAATAAAAATTTTTTTTCCCAGTAACAGTAAACAAACTGAAAAGCACAGAAATTAACTGATGAGTTTTGGTGATACAGTGCTTTATTTAGAAAAAGATAAACACCACTGATTCTAAGATATTTTTTTCTTTCAAATGGCACAGAAATTAGACAAAGTAGTCCAGGATAATAGATGTATTTACACACTGAATGCAAAATAAATATACAATATTGGAAAAACTTAGTTATCCACTGATTCATTTTGCATTTCCACTGTTCATCTTGTGTTTCAATTTTCTTTGCCTTTTGTAAATCCTTTTTTTCCTTGCTTTCAAATCGACTTTTGGCTCTGGTTTTACCCACTGTATTTCTATTGGTTTTTCCTCAGCTGGTGTAACAAAAACATCATCAGTAGGATCATGTGGAAGAACAGTCTTTGGCTCTTTCTTTCTCAGTTTCTGCACATCTTTTACTTGCTGTTTCTCTCTGTATTTCGCAGCTGTGATAGATCTTATGATACGCCGATGCTGAAAAAGCAAAGATCAAATGCTTGGAATAAACACTTTATATAAGGCAAAGACATTCACTTATGAGCTCCATCTCCCTCTTCCCCATGTCAAGAAACAAGGCAGTAATTTGTGATTTGGAGGCAACAAAAACCAATTCAGTTTCACAGGTGATAGGACAGTGATTACAAAATTATTCTAGCCAAAGAGTTTCAGTACCTCAAAGAACATTAAATGACAAAAAGAGCTTACCATGTTTGGTGACTGGTAGTGAGGATTTTCATACAAGGTTGGTCCTCCAAAACTTCCCTGAAAAATCTTTATCAGATTTAAGACAAAACGAGGTCCTATTTCTACAAGTTGAGCATCTTCATCTATGATCTTTAATAAAAAGAGAACATTCATTTTAGTTTGGATATATTATTCCTAAAAGGTAAATCTGGTTATAACCTCACATGAATGTGCCAAAAGAACTGATAATCAAATTAAGGTAGAGATAAGGGGCAAATTTGACAAGTGCCAAATTATCAACATTTTCTGAAATTTATTAGTTACAGAGTTGTCATGAAAAAATGTTCAGTGTATTTTTTAAAAACTGAGTAATCTAAATGTGGTTCAGTCTGTTTCTCACAAATACTATTTGTTAGTTAAGGTATGTCTGCCTTCAAGGGAACATATTAGCTTGGTATGGTGGCAAATGCCTGTAATCCCACCACTCTGACAGGATGAGGCAGGATCCAAGCCCAGCCTGGGTATCAGGGAGACTCAGGCACTATCTCAAAATAAAATAAATAAATGAACAAACAAAGAGGTCCAGGAAAGTTAAGTAGCTCAGTGTAAAGGCCCTGGGTTTAATTAATCCCAAGTACTGGGGAAAAAAGAGGGAGGATATATATATATTTAATTCATATTGCAAGGTACCTAGTATAAAACATGCAGGTAAGAACCCAGTTCATGTCATGTCTAAAATTTTGTTCCTGTTGTTCTTTTCCATTTTCCCATTTTTCTGCAGACTTACTCTGTCAAATTCCTGCTTCAAGATTTCTAGAACCTGGGCAGGGGATGCAGCTCTGCAGTGCTGCGCCTGCCTGGCAAGCACAAGGTCCTGAGTTTGATTCCCAATACCCTCCTCCCAAAAAAGATTTCTAGAACCACCTCTTCTGAGTGAACCATATGACTCATCTAATGGGCTTCCCTGGAAGTCTACATATTTCTAAATCTTAACCAATTCCCCCCCTCCTCAGGCCCAGTAGAGTCGAGAAACATATTTTACTGAGCTGAGAAACATATTTTACTGTAGTGTTTATAGGAGTCAGCATAAATTTGGAATGCAATTACCCTATACTTCAGACTGGTTTTTTAGAAAATAAAACATACAGTTGACTGTTAGGAAGCTTATACTCTCTATCAACTGATAGTCATAAAGTAGGCAGAGATTATTTAAAGAATGAAATAGTAAACAGCTATTTGCAGCAAATCTCTGGAAGGAAAAGGATGCTATTTAAACAAAAAGACTTTTAATTTAAAAGTATAATTAAAAATTAAAGAAAAGCTAACCTGAAAGTTCCGAAACCATATCCTATTATCCAAAATGGTGAAAGTAAATACATGGTCCACAAATGGCTGGCTTTTGGGATGATATCGTGGCGTACTAAAAATCTATTAACAACAAAAAAAGTATGTAATATTACTTGCTTATTCCAAGATCTATCATTTGTTTCTGATATCTGTTAACAACAAGTTTAAAGAAAGACATTCATTTAATATATTACTAAAAAATATTTTCTAGAAAAGATATTTACCTGAATTAAGAGTTCTTTTAACAAAGCATAATGTGGCAATTCATCAAAAGCCTGTAAAAATAAAAATTTTATTCAACAAGTGACTTGTTCAAAATTGGTTTTTTTATCAATTACTTTGAATTACGTATATAATTATATCCACTAAAAAAAATCATGCAGATTAAGAAAATTAGACCTCATACACAGATCAAGAAACTTACAGGGTCAAAAGACAAAATTGGCCGAGAACCTTTCAAACAGTTTCCAGTCATCTTCAGTTCTGCTAGGGTATGAACTAGAAAAATTGTAACAAAAATGAAAAGTTACAACTTTGGCACAACTATTCCAAAAGATTTAAAATTTTTTCATTAGAAAAATTTACAACTGAGTCAACTTACTATTTTGAACAAGGAATTTGGCAGAGGGCCCATGAGGTGAATTCGAAAGCCTGAAATGTATGAAGCTTTGTCATTAAGAATCTAGAATACAGTAAATGCTTACCACACCTCTCCACCATAAAAAGACAAAATACGCTTAAAATACTCATATATTTAATTTTTAAAGGCCTCAGATCTTGTGAAATCAAATAAGTTTGCTTTGTTTTCCCTTCTTTTATAATTCATTCTCTTACCACATATAAAGATCTTGTTTTTTCTTAGCTTCAAAATAGATGCATTTATTGCAGTTTTTCATTTCACAGACCTAAGTAAAGTATATAAAAATGAAATAGATAACACAAATAGAACTAAAGTAATTCAATAACAGCTTCCTCTAAAAATATTTAAGCAGGTAAATAGGCCACAAAGTTCTACATTTAGATGAATTTATTCACAGAAACACTGAAAATTCCTCTTACATATTCTACCCAAGGTAAAACTGGATGCTCTGCACACCTCTTTGGAGGAAGTACCCATCCTGCTCGTTTCAGCCTAGCATTTTAAAGTATTTGATCTTCTGATTAAGGAGCCCTCTTCTGATCTTAGTCCCACATACAAATAAAAAGACTAAAAATTCCCCCAGTATAGGGCATACCACAATTAAATTTACCAATTTTGGGAAAGCAGTCCTTATAAAACAAAGACATCCTTAGTTTTACAGAATGCCACAAAATTTAAGTTTTTCTCCCTCATTTATATTATTTCTGGTGATCTGACTTAATAAAATCACCAAGGGATTGGTGAAAAGCAAAAGTATACAGAAGTTACTTCAAGTTGAATTAAATTTCAACATCTTGAAGGTTGACAAAACACTTAAGAAACATACAAAAACATTACAAGACTAACTCCTGTATTAATATTCATAAATTATCTTATACAGTATTCATAAACTAAACAACTTGAGACTTTAAGCCTAAAAACCTAAAAAAAACTCTTAGGTAAACACTTTCCTTTCTTTTTGTGTCTGAGAATAAACATCAATGCAAAGTTCACGCTAGTTCGAGGCCGTGGTACTTTCCATTTTCTCTACCTAGAATTCTTTTCCATTGTATTTCTCTAATATTATGCTGAACAGCACCCCTTTAGGAAATCCTTTCCAGTCCAGCTCAGCTGCTGAAAAGTCTTGTCATTTTTCCTATGTCTGACTCAAATTTTAAGTGTTGTCTATGGCCCATCTCTTTCATTAGAATGCAAGCTCCACAACAACAGCATGTTTTTTCCTCAGCATGTAGAACAATACTGCATTACAGCAGACATCCAATAACATAAAAGAAGCCTTTCATAGCAAGAGAGTTATCTTAAAACAAATGTTTTGAAAAATGTACTTTAAATGTTTTGGTCTCTTCAACAATACTTTGAAAATTTAACCTATTACAGTACTAGTTTTTAAATACCTTAAAAGCAAATTTTATATACACATCTTTTATGTATGTACATACTATGTGTCTACTGTATGTATGTATGTATGTATGTATTTATTTGTGGTACTAGGATTAAACTCAGGGCCTTCAATCTTAGCAAAATCCTCAACTCTTTTTTATTTTGTGATAGGGTCTCACTAAGTTGCCCAGGTTGCTCTCAAACTTGTAATTCTCCTGGCTCACCCTCTCAGAGTGCTAGGATTATAGATGTGCGCCACCATGCCTGGCTTCACAAACATCACTTTTAACACTGGAAAAATGGTTTTTATAATGTCAGTTTTTTGTAACTTTTTAATTTTATAAAAAATTCTGGTCAAGTGTGGTGATGCACACTTACAATCCCAGCACTCAGGAAGCTGAGGCAGGAGTATTGACGTTTGAGTTCGAGACCAGCCTAGACTACACAGTAAGTTCAAGGGTAGCCTAAACTACATAGTAAGACCCTGTCTCAAAAAACAAACAAAAAACTCTATTTTATAGGGTTGGGGATTTAGCTCAGTGGCACTGTACCTGCCTTGCAAGCATAAGGTCCTGAGTTCGATCCCCAGTACCGCAAAAAAACCCAAACCAAAACAAAACTCTATTTTACATGAGTTAATTATTCTTATGAGTATCTACTATGAACTGTGCACAATATTAGATATTATGGAGGGGTAAAAAGGGTATCTCTGTCCTTAGGAAATGTCAACATGCTTGAGAAAGACACACAGAAATGATTTAAAAAATTATGTACTATATACTGAAGCATTAAATTGTGAGATTGACAGTAAATACTATAAAAAAATCACAAGACAGGTTTTTTAAAAGTTCATAAAATTTGAGTATCTTTCACAAAATTATTTTTAAGTCACCAAAGGATTTATTTTTTAATGAGCCATCTTTAGTATTCCTAAAGTGATTAGATTTGTGATTAGTTTCTTAAATTACCTCATTAATCACAAATAATTTATCTTTACGATCCATTTTAGTATCTAAAAAAGAAGAGAAAACAAGTTAGCAAAGTATTTCAAAGCTACTTTAATCAAGTCATATATGCTCTGGAGAAAATAATTGTGTATTTAAGCTACTCAATTTAAAGGAGATTTTATAATTAATTTTCAAAGTGATTAGATGTAAAAACATAACCTCTAGATTCTTTTTAAATGTAAAGAACCATAAGTAATTTAAAAGTCATCAAGAATTACAAATTATGGTTTAAGCAGCATTTCTTTTTTTTTTCCAATTAAGTTTATTGGTACATTTGAGGTATAAAATACAGTTACATTCATCATTGGGATCTTGTACCATTACATGAGTATGGTTCTTATTTTTTT